CCGAGGAGGAGAGGAGGCGGGCGAGAAATCTCATCCGGGAGGGATAACCGCCTCCGTGCCAGGGCAATTTGTGATTCTGCGTGGCATGGAAAACGAGCGTTAGAGAAAAGCAAAGCAAGGCCATAGTGATGACGAGCATGTCCTGTCTCCCGTTGCCTCTCATCCCCCGCCTGTGTGCGACCCGTCTCGTGTCGCCCTCCACCACAGACACTGCGCTCGATCAGCCGTCGCGATTCCCCCCCATTCGTGATGGCCGCTCTCGAAACGAAAGGCCCAGGACGGCCAAAGTCCGCTACGCTGCCATGAAGGTCCGCCAGCGGCAGCCCCCGTAGTTCGCTCGACGAGCGGAGCTGCGGATCGCCCAGCTGCCGCGACCCCGGCCCTGCCCTATCGCACACCTGTCAGAACGCAGTGTCCTCTGCGTATGGGGAGATTACAAGCCATGGCATGGGGGTGTGTGTCTTCCACTCGAATGCCGACCTCATGGACACAGCTGCTCCAGACTAGCGAGCTGCCGGTCCCTCCCCCCTGCACGCGGTACGTTGTGGCCTTGCCGGCGTTACCGTGCGTAAACGCCGTTCCTCCCAGATGCCCAACTCTTCAGTAGCAGGCCGGGGACCAAGTACGTAGGAGAGGGCATGCTTGATAAATCCTCCGGAGCATTCCTCACGAACGCGCGCTGCCTTTCTGACCAACACGTTGCATTCTACTATCGGAGGGTTTTTCTTTTCGAAGGGAGAAGTCTTCATGCCGCGTGCTGAATCATCCATGCGAAACCCTCCGTGATGATTACTTGGTCGCTCGAAAGAGGCCCTGGCCGGGGTGGCTCGGAGGCGGACTGATCATGTAATCCGACATGGCTGACTACACTGAGCTGCGGGGGCCGAGGCATCTGCCCGGGGGGTTGTTTGTGCGACCACTGGGAACGGAAATACTGAGCGTTCGTTCCTCGTGGAGTGTCTGGTGGTGCAGCATGTCACGTCGGGTGGTCCTCTTGGCGAAGGATCACCAGGCCTACATGAGAGATTTTGAATTGGACGGTTTGGTTATGCGATTGGCAGATTCATTCGGGCGGTTTCACAGGAGCATGGAAAGGACCAAGTCTCTGATGGCGGACATGTATGCATGAAACGGGATTGAAGGGTGGAAAGATATGTCTATAGTTTGATGGAAGCCGTAGTTTGATGAAAATCTGTCATTGGATGAAAAATGGTATTATCTACTATCTCCAACGCCTCGCATATGGGGGAGTCCAAGGTCCCGAAATAGACACGACGGGATATCATAAGAGAAGGAGAAGAAAAACAATTAAAAAAAAAAGGTAGAATCAAGAGGCCACGCTAGACGTGCGACGCCAGCTCCTTCTCGGTCCACGCCCAGAGCTGCTCCTCGAGGTCCTTGTCCCTGGCGTTCTTGCTGGCCTTGGTGTCCTTGACGGGCAGGCCGACGGGGAAGTAGAAGCCGCCGGACTGGACGTCGGGGCTCGTGGCGGCCCAGAGGCTGTTCTTGGCGCCGTTGGCGACGTTGGTCAGGAAGAGGCCGAGGACGGACAGGACGGGCTTGAAGATGGGCCACTTGGCGCCGGGGCCGGAGGCGGCGAGGTTGGTGCGGACGACGCCCGGGTGGATCGAGACGACCTTGAGGTCGGGGTGGCGGCGGGCGAGGGCGCTGGCGTGGTGGACGTTGGCGAGCTTGGAAATGCCGTAGCGGGTGAAGGTGCTGACGGAGGTGTGTTCGGTCTTGAGCCCGGCAAAGTCGTAGGGGTTGGTGGCCGGGGCCGTGTTCTCGAGGAGCGACGAGAGGTTGACGATGCGGACGTCGCGCGGCGGCGACGTGGCGGCGGCGGTGCGCTTGAGGGTGGGCAGCAGGAGGTTGGTGAGGAGGGCGTGGCCGACGTGGTTGGTGCCGAACTGGATCTCGTAGCCCTCCTTGGTGGTGCCGTTGGGCGTGGCCATGATGCCGGCGTTGTTGATGAGAATGTCGAGCCTGTCCGACTTGGACAGGAACTCGGCGGCGGCCTTCTTGATGCTGTCGAAGGAGGTGAGGTCGAGGCTCAGGAAGGAGATGGGCGCCGCGTTGGGCACGATCTTGCGAATCTCCTTGATGGCGGCCTGGGCCTTGGACTCGGTGCGCGCCGCGAGGTAGATGTGTGCCGGCTTGTGCTTGCTCAGCTGCAAGACGGTCTCCTTGCCGATGCCAATGTTGCCGCCGGTCACGAGGATGACGCGGCCGGAGAGGTCAGGAATGTCCTTGTCGGGGTTGAAGGAGACCATGATGGCTGGCGATGGAGGGTGACGCTTGAACGAGTTGGTTCACTGGGCTGGGATGGTAGTGTTGCTTGATGCTGCTGCTGGCGATGGAGGGAGACGGGATTCTTGGCCACGGGGGCCAGTGTCATTTATGTACGCCGGGGCATCACCGGTCCCTACCTACCTTGCCTACCTAGGCACCTTACCTGAAAAGCACGTAGACGAGAACACCACGCGGAGTTTGAGGTTCGGGACCCCCTTGTCTGCGCCAGTACGCGATGACTAGCGAGGCATACGTCGCCTTGAGGGCACCTAGTATGATGAGCCATGTGGCCAGGGTGCCGTTGCGAGGCGTGCGCATCGCGCCATGTTGCTGTGGTCAAGCTACGTCCTAAGTCCGAGACAGCCAACGAAACAGAACAGGGCCATGTCCTGGTCTCGGGGTCCGGGGCCTGCGTGGGGCGCCACATGCCGAAGCTACCAAGCGTCCGTCCTGTCAGGTCATGGGTCATGGCAGTTGGATTTTTCGCGATCCATCCGGGCTTGGCCTGGCTTTCTCATCTTGGGTGGCATTCCTATGGCGCGCCGAAACTCCGCAGCGGAATCGAGGGTCCAGCAGAAGCGGGCTAGCGAGAACGAGTGCGACTGGAACAAAGAGAGTCACAGCGAAAGAGAGAGAGAGAGAGAGAGAGAAGCGATGGCGTCCCAGGCCGCAGAGACCTGCAGGGGCGGGATCGGCCCAATTGCCGGTTTGTCATCCCGTTCGTCGGCGACCCTATCTTGCTTTGTAGTCGGAGCAACCCGAGGCCCGAGTCTCCGCTGAGCGCCCAAGAAGGCTTGTTCTGTCAGCGAGGCAGCCCGAAGAAGAGAAGAGGTCTCAGCGAGGCAGCCCGAAGAAGAGAAGACGTCTCAGCGAGGCAGCCCGAAGAAGAGAAGAGGGTCTCAGAGAGGCAGCCTCTGCGACGGCGAATGCCAAGATTGCGCTTGGCGGGTCACCTATGTGTGTGTCTCTCTCTCTGTGTATGTGGGTAAGGTGAATCCAGCTCGAGAAGGCTGTGAGAATCCCACTGATGGCATCCTTTGGCATGATGCTCCCCAAACTCCTTTGCATCATGCTCCCAAAACGCCCATGCCTTGTTGCAGGCGCACTTGTTGCAGGCGCAGAAGACGAATACGAGGGCAATCTAGCAAACTTTCAGTCGGCCGTGATGCTGCCGCCAAGGCGCATTTTGACTTTGATTGAACCTGGAATGGGTGAGGTCAATCCATCGCACATGTCAGCGCAGATATCGATCAGCATCTCCCTTGCTTCAGCATAACCACACCACGGTAGACAACGAACGGAGATCCAGAGGTGAAAATCTCCAACGTGCCTCTTCGTCGTGATTTTGGCCATGTCCATGCACCTTGTTGTCGCCCGTTGACCGTGCTCAGCCGTCACGTTGGCTGGTCGTGGCAGCCATGTCGAAATTTTGCGCCAGCAGAAAAACTTCTGCGTGACTCAACCCGAAT